TTTAAGAGAAGGCAACTGCCTAAGCCAAAATCCTCCCAGAATTCAATTTGTCTTCTGTATCTATCTTAAAAAAACATAACTCAAAAGTACAAAAACTTTCATCTACAAAGATTGGGGAAAAACCTTCAAGTTCTGAGGTACATTGTCAGACCGTCCATTTGCATTCTCAATATTAACTACCTCAATTCTGCAGAAAGCCTACAAAAAAAATAAGCACTGACCCTAATGAGTTTATAACTTTTCTCTGCCACCTTCAAGGTTTTAGTAAGTATTGTTATAGCCATTATCTAAATCAGGGCTACAAATACACTATTCTATCATGGAATATTCTGAAATTTGACATTTGCATGGGTACATAAGAAAGAATCCAATTTCAAGTTGAAATACTCAACAAACTGCTTCAAATATTTAATTAGGATCTCTGCCCCCTCTCTCTCTTATTTCTAAATATCTGTAGAGATCTCCCATAGTTAAAGGTTCTTACCAACCTTTCCTTCTCCTCAAGGATCAAGAGTACGGACAACAGCCTGAAAAGGAAAATGAAAGAAGAAGAGTTACTGGTCTGACAGTAATTCCCCAAAAGGCAACCATTTTAAGTGGAAACAAAAAACAAACAAAACAAAAAAAAACACAAACAAAAACAAAATAACAAACCTTCATATGTGAACTAGGCCCTGATATAAATCAAGGAATAACATTAGTTCAAATTCCACTGTGTTCTTTAAAACATAAAACATTAGTTCAAATTCCACTGTGTTCTCCCTACAGCAGCATGTGGCCTAAATGGTCAAATGACTGTCATTAAAAAAATGCTGAAAGCATAGCACATCTATTTAACTTGTGATGTACATTTGCCTTTTGTGATGGTTGGGATTTAAGGGTTATTCACATATTCACACAGTGGTCCCTATCAACCCATTTTCTCTCAATAACATAGTAAGTTATTCCTACAATTCAATTATTCAATTTGTGTTCCAAAGCTATGGAATGCTATTACTGTATAGCATCAACAACAAAAAGATACTGAGAAAATAAGGGTAAGAAACACACATTAGCATAAGACTTTTGATTAAATGATTAACGTAGACAAAAAGTCTCTGAGGGGACCTGACTAGATTGATGCATTTATACTATGGTAGATGAAGTAGAGCTTCATCATCTACAGTGAAACAAAAAGTCAGTGTGTGATTATTTCTTTCACATAGTTGAGCTGCCCGTTTCATTAAACCTCTGAGCACATGCATCAAGCCAAACTGGTTATTAAGCATGCACTTCCTGCCCTTGGTCCTCCTTTGAAAGCTTGAAAATATTCCCACATGAATATGAATCTCAATTGCATCTCTGATTCACAATGTTTCCAAGCTCAGCGAGCATAATCACTTTACATTTGCCATCACAGTCCTCTTAATAGTATATTGGAAGCCAAAGCACAGAGTTTCCTGCTGCAATCTCATGTTCAACGGAGTGAATCCCATTAAGCTGAATCTTGACGGGACACAGAACAAGTAGAAAGTGTAACTAACTACACAAGAAGAAAGTGAGGCAGACAAAGTAATATTAAGAGATTTCTGTAGACTTTAAATTAAGCTTTAGAATGCTTAGAAGCAATGTTGTACTGCTTTTAGCCTAAGTAAGGTCAAAAAGAGCCGTGAAGGGAAGACTTTAAGGACATGATGGTAGGCAAGAAGTATAGAAAGTTTCACATCTAGTAGCTAGAACAGACCACAGCCTACAGATTCTGACCAGTTCAGGTAACTACAGGGAACAAAATTAAGCTATAGGTTACATCTAGTCTGTCCAGAGAGAGATGAGAAATTACTACCTGCTCTCCTGATTAGTATTCATGTAGTTTTACACTTGTGATTCGTTTATAAAAGAAGCATTTGAGGTACTATTACTCTATACATGCTAAACCTTCCCCCTGCCTATAAGACTGAAGCCATTGGTCCTTTGCAACTTCAAACGTGAAGCTTGAGTAAGCTTGGGTCGCTCATTTCTTTTTCTTAAGAACAATACGAATCTCGAGTAGACGGATTCTTCTCTTTCAATTAAGTTTAAAAAAATTAGTCTTGACATGTATTTCTTATATATAATGCATTATTACATTGTATCGTAGAATATTGTATTTGCTGCAATATATATTTAATCTTTCCAGGGAAGTTTTTTAAAATAGTTGTCTGGTATAACTTTATTTTCCTGGGGACTTACAACTGATCTCTACAGGATCCTACGTCATGTCCAGGAGTCAGCACCTTGGTTCTTCCAGAGCAAATAAAGGATTAAGATACACTGAACTTCAGATTTCTATTAAGAATTTCATTTAGCAAATTTTGTTTGCACAACAGCACTAGAAATAATATATTTGGAAAAAGCATATTTTGTTGGATAGTTTTAGCCATAAAACCTAATGAACTGGGTTGCATGGAAGTACTTTCGCTCTCCCACGGGAAACAGAAATGCCGTCTGTGTCACAAAAGAGCTTTGTGCAAGCAACCGCTTTGCGTATCACACATTCCTTACATCTTTTTGCAGTGTAACTATGCTGTGGACCAGTCTTACCATGCTGAGACGACGGCATCTCTACATTTCTTATCTCATTTTTAGTCCCAAAGTTGCTACGTTGTTCACAGGCAAAAGCACCTCCTAATTGCACTGAAGACAGTTATTCGCACGCGAAATATGAAACTGAGCTTAAAGGCAAGTATAATTTGCGAGCCTGATGGGAGGGTACATCATTACAGCATTTCCACATGATCGTTTTTTCAGTTTATTTTTAATTTGTATTTTCGTATCATTTGGCGCATTTCACACCATCACTCCAAATAATGTATTTGGGGAAAGTAAAACACATGACACATTTTTAGCCGTAAAAGCTAATGAACTGTACCGTTTCGGAAGTATTTCTGTTCTCCCATTGAAAGACTTCATTTGAGGTCTTTGCCAGGTCTCCTGCATTTGGGCTTAAGCAGAGACCCTGCAGCCCCTCACAGCTTCGCCCTCCAGACTACACCGAGTCTCTGATCACCTCACCGCGTTCGCTGCTCCCGTACTGCCGAAATGGCGCCAGACACCTGACCACTCCCTCAGCTCCTCTCAGTGCACACCTATTCTTACATCTGGAACCTTACAGAAGCAGCCGTGGTCATCAGGATCAACACCCGAGCGCCGACCCCCTCAGACCGGCCGCC